ACACTATCGCTTCCACATTTTATCACTACATTGCAACACATTGCAAAACTATCGCTTTTAAACATATCAATTTTTTTACATTGTATTATACTTAGACACAATCTTTAATGATCTGAGATTTTATGTGATTCATTTTGGTTATTTCAAGTGGTAAACTACTTATAAACAGGTTGACCAATGAATTTGAAGTTGAATTAATTCTTGTAGGTATAGTTTCATTATTGATTATTCTTAGACCTGATTTTCTTATTACTTCAATGAAACTTTCAGATTAAGGTAAGCAATTTATGATTCTAAATGGATCAATATTAAAGTTAAAGTCGCCTAAAACTATGATATTTTTATACTTAATTTCAATTATGTTCAGCCACTTTTCATAAAAGTTTATAAATTCAACGTTATTATTTCTTGGTAATAATCTATAAACACAGCTTACCCAAATTGTTTTATTTAGAATTCTTAGCAAAACACTTATAACCCACCACTTCATTTTTACTATAATTTGTTTAAAATCCAAGGCTTTGATATCTTCTCTTTCAATAGTGTACATTTCCCAGTAAGTGTACTAGAAGACATGAGCGTAGAGTACTCAAATTTTCAAGGGGAACAAAAAGTCAAAGGTTCGATTTTTTTGAGTAGTATTTGGCTACTGTCCAGTGTTAATTTTTTTTTTTTGATATAAAAATAAAAAATAATAACTTTGATTTTGGTTAACTAGCATCAAGAAATTAAAGAAAAACAAGTTTAGTTCGAGTTTTTACTTGGTTTTCAAATAAAACATTCTACAGCGCGTATCATTTTTTTTTTAAATATATCTAACATAAAGTCCGAAGTCATTTCAAGACTTCGGGTAATTTCTTTATGGGTATTCATTACAAACTCTTTATGGGTATTCATTACAGCCTTTCCTGACTTAACTAAATGGTCAACTAAATGGTCAACTTAAGAATGGTAAACTAAATGGTCAACCAAAGAAACGTTTTTAGTCTACGGAGACTACTAAATAATTATTCTGCAGTACAATTTGATACTGGCTGTACCAGAATTAGTTTATTAAAAAGAAAAATTTCTGAGGCAATTCTTTTCAATCCAATTTGCTCTTTAGCGCGGATGAAATCTAGAACTGATTGAAAATCCTCCAATTAAACTTTTTGTTTTGTTAGGTTCGTCAACGAAATGGTCCCGGTGAAGTTGCAATCTTTGATAATAAGGAAAATTATTCTTTTAGAAGTTTTTTATATAGTAAATTTCAGTGTTATTTGATCCAATCACAAACTCTTGAATCTTTGTTAAATGGCGAGTGTTTTCAGTTGATTCAAATCTATCGGTGAGGCCAACTAAAACTGGTAAAGCTAAACTGGTATAGCGAAACTGCTTATAGATCTTATTTAGATCCTTTGGCTGATAATAAGTTTCCTTGAAGACGACCTCAAATCTTGCAGGTATAAACCCATCATTTTAGCAGATTCAGTTGCCGCATCAAAAAGTGTTTTAAAACGTGAGTACGCAAAAATTTCAAAATTTGTTTCATGGATTAAATGATGAATTCAGCCTTACTAAATTTAAGTTAACTTCCCTGAAGTTGAATGCTTGAACCTTCTAGGATTGTAAAAATGATTCAAATAAATTTCCAAATTATAAAAGATGTCAAAAATCTGAAAAGAAGACAAAAAGGTCATTGCTTCCATTAGGCATTTGGTAAAGTTAGGGTTAGTGGTTAGGTCTTCCAGTCAAACGTGAAGTTTTCTGCAGAAAATTCTGTAAGAAGTCATCTGCAGTTACTAGTAATAGATATTAGAGATAACTTGCGCATTATCCATCTGGTTGGTTAAAGAAGTTTAAATGATGTTACAATTTAGTGTCGATTTTCGCTTTCATTTTTGTCTTTTAAGCTTAAAAATCCAGCAAGCCTCATTAGTGAACATCTGGTAAAAGCTATGAACTTTTAAACGATATTTTGACATGATACTTTCTATATTGTAAAAATTACTTTAAAGCACTACTATACAGCGTGAAACAAATCTTAAATTGTAATCAAAAGACAATCTAAAGTTTTATTTTATCGAAAAAACGTATTTTTATATGAAAAAATTAAACTACTTTTTCAAGTTTTTATCTTAAAAACAATTTTTTTGGTTATGTTAATAGCAAAGGATGATTTATTTTTTTGCTTTTTAATTGATTTCTTTCTCTAATTTCTTCCTCTATTTAAAAATAAAAAATTGAAATAATATTTATTATAAGGTTAGATCAAATTTCAAGGGGAAAAAACAAATTTTCAAGAGGGGCAGTCTGCCCCCGTTGCACCCCATACTCTACGCCTATGCTAAAAGATAATACACTTTTGGATTTGTAATTATCAATTTTAATCTCATTATCAAAACATATATCTGTATTTGCTTTTATTTCACTAAATATTTTTCAATTTCACTTTTTTTTATCAAAATGACTATCATTATTTAACAAAGCAAATTAAAATTCTCTAGTTAATTTTTAGTTGCTATTGGATCCTTGACTTCACTTTTTTTTTTCTTCATTTAATATTGGACATTATCTCCCATGTACAAAGTGGTCACATGGATGATTAGCATTATTTTCCTTGTTAAACAAGTAGCAATGAATGCATAAATTGACTTGATTGTAACAAATAATGACATTTATATGATTACGACTCTGCACTACTTGCCAATTCACTAAAAATTTGAAATTTCTTTTCTTTTCAATGTAATTTTTTGTTTGTTCATCTACATCGAAGATAATCAATGCACAAGCTTTATATATACATATATATATATATATATATATATATATATATATATATATATATATATATATATATATATATATATATATATATATATATATATATATATATATATATATATAGCATATTTATATGCTATATATATCTAATATAGCATATTTATATGCGCAATTGCTCACTTTTTTTGCTAGCCTAAATTAAGTGAGCATTTTTAGAAAACGATGAGGGAAAACGAAGAATAATGAATGAAAATGTTGCTGACCCATACCAAACCCTCAGTCGATGTAGCAGCACTCCACGGCGAGTCAGGCTATTTGTCAGTCGATGTATGTACTGAAGCCCCCGGCAGCAGGCTATTTGACATTAGGTGAGTATGACATCATCATGCTCACCTAACTCAGCAGTATAAGATATATAGATACATATATAGTTTTTCATATAAGAAAAGTAGGAATACTATAGTGTATAGGATACTATAGAATATAGGATACTATAGTGTATAGGATACTATACAATACTTATAAGTATGGCGAGAAAGCCGTTGCGACCCCGAGAAAAAACACTTTTTTAGAAGTGTATAATTGATAAACAAAGACGTTTTAAAGATGTATTTTTTATGTCTTTATGACAAGATTAAGATAAAAAAAGACGTCTTATTGATGTCGAAAAAAGATGTCTTTTAGATTTGTATAAACGATTAAAAGACTTTTAAAGACGTCTTTTCGACGTCTTTTTTCCCACTGGGATTCTATCAAAAAGTGTTTTAGTTTATCAAAGTTTTTAATAATGCTTCTTATTTATGATTTTTAAGGTCAATATATACTTTTTTAATTGTTAATTTTACTAGCCATCAGACTGTTTGTTTCCGATATATTATTTAAGAAATAGATTGTGCTAGTTTATATTTTTTAACTAAAAAAGAAAAAGAAAAGTTGAGTCCGTAGATAATAAAAAACGATTTGATTCACATTTAGACTGTTCAAGTGTATTTCTTTTGATAGTAACTATCTGGGGAAAAAATTTCCACAAATAAGGTCCGCGGTGTTGGTTTGAGTATGAATATAACTTTAATGTAAATTTTGGGATGACAAAGTTGTTATATGAGAATCCTGTAGGGTATTTTTGACTTATTTCGCTAAAAAAGGGTTGAAATATTGGCAGAGATAGTCCATATTTTTTTTGTGTAGAAAATGTAAAACAAGATGTATGTTAATTTTGTATATATTAAATGCTCCAAGTTTGCATAAGAGAGGTTCACAAGTTTTTCACTTACTCAAAAGTCAATTCTACAGGCATGATTTTGTTTACTGTAGAGTTTTTTGGGCATAGTATAATTTGTGCTTGCCCAGGCCATTTTAGCATAGCTAAGGTGACTATGTATTAATGAAAAGTATAAACTTTTTAAGGAAATGATATTTAGGAAAGGTTTAGCTTTATACATTAATGAAATGTTTCTTGAGAGCTTTCTCTCTAAAGTGTTTATATGGAGCTTCCAAGACAAATTTTCATCCGAAACCACACCTAGAAAATTAATGAAAGTTTTTCTTTTCATATTAGTATCATTAATTTTTAGATTAGGTAGTTTAAGAACAACATTTTCATTTTTATTTGGTTTATGAAATAGGATGAATTTGGTTTTTTGGTTCAAATTCAAAGAGAGTTTGTTACACTTGAACCACTTTTTTTTAATATTATGTAATTCTTTGTTAACTATATTAAAAAGTCACTTTATGTCTTTATGTGAACAAACCAAATTGGAGTCATCCGCAAACAAGATTAATTTTAATAAACATGATGTTGAATACAAATTATTTATATAGAGTAAAAATAATAAAAGTCCGAAGTTCCGAAGCCTTAGAGAGTACCAAATATCATATCATATCTAGCCAATTACAACTAGCTAGTTCACATATACTTTATTTGTTTTCAATAAGTTACAGAAAATTGTAAAAAATAATGATCTTTACCTCATTAGAGATTTTTATTTAACATTTTATCTTGCGTTTTTTAAGTGTTATATGTGCACATAGCATAACAAAGTGGATATAATATAGGTGGCTTTATTAAACATTTTGGCTCCTATAATATTAAAGCTTCTGTTTCATTGGCTATTTGTTGCTTTTTTAATTTAAACTTTGTTTTATTTTTTAACTCAAGCCATCTTTATTTTATTTGATATAACGCAAAATTTAATAAAAAAAAAAAAAAAAAAAAAAAAAAAAAAAAAAAAATACTGTTAAAGTTATCCAAGTCATATTTTCTGAACGCTTAAAATATCCGTAATAAGTTTTGCCTTTTATCCACTACTTTATTATATATCTGAAAAAAGACCTTTTTTTCCCAGTGTGCACCGGACCAAAAAAAGACGTCTTTTGAACGTCCAAAAGACGTCCAAAACGTGTATACGACGTTTAAAAGACGTCTTTTTTACGTCCGTGTCCACTGGGTTAGGTATTAAATAAAGTAATGGATTAGTTCATCGCCCAACAGGTTGATGGTGCTTTGCCTACAGTACTCTTTTAATTCTAAAAAAAAATAGTTAAATATGTAAAAGTAATGTATGTAAAAGGTTAACAAATAATATTTTATTTTTCTTTTATTAATAAAATGTAAATAAATAAGCACATTAAGAAAGTTGAAACATTAACTTTATGGAAATTTTTTTTTAACAATAACAATAAAAAAATGCATTACGTTTTTTTAAATCATAAATATTCTTTAAAAAACACGCGCCCGAAACAGAGGTTTAACGTTGTTGCAACAAAAAATATAAAATTATTTCTAAAATTTGTACCGATTTGGTCGATGTTTTTGGACATGCGACATGCGAATAAAAACTTTCGTTAACATAATCGCAATTAAATTGTCAACAAAACTTTTTTCCTGCAAAGTTTGAAATTTTCACAGTTCAACATTTTCGGAAAAATAAGTTCATCAAATACATATTTGATGAACTTCTTATTTTTCCGAAATGATTATATTTTTTGAAAAAAGGATCACATTTTACAAAAAATTAGAAGCTTTTTCTTTACAAAATCAGACTTCCCTTTAAAAGATCAGTTTATTTTTCAAAACTCATTTTAAAACACTTTTATCGCCATTATTGTATTTCGAGTGACCAACTGGAATTTGACGTCATTTGTCAACGTCATATTAAAATCAGGTTTTGGGTGAAAGTATAAAATAAATGTATATATATACATTTATTTTATACTATATATGAGTTAGGATTGAATTACATAAAAATTGAAATAACAAAATATATTTTGTTATTTCAATTTTCATGTAATTGAAAATTGAAATAACAAACATATTTTTTTATTTCAATTTTTAATTACATGAAAACTGAAATAATTTGTAATTTCTGTATGTTCAAGTTTCGTAATGTTTAATATACAGAAATTACAAAGAATTGTTTTTTATTTTTTTATTTATATGAAACAATGATTTGAAAAAGTGACCAACGAGCCATCCAGTTACGTAGACCTTGGAGATGTTAAAATAAAAGCAAATTAAAGATGATGTTATTTAGGTGAAAAAACATCATATAATGTAAAGACTATTTAGTAGGAGGAGTAAAAGTTAGCAACTCAGGAAGAGAAGAACCAAAACTCACACTCTAGTCATCTTTAGCAAATGATAAAACAATGATCTATGAGTAAACAAGTCAATAAAAATCTGCTGGTTTATTAATGGTATCCATAACTAAAATTATCGCACCATACAAAAGTCTAATTAATGTAGCACTATATATGGTCTAAACTCTAGATAATAAATTGCCCAGCAAACAAAAAGAAATCTTTTAGCTGTCTTAAAAACGTCTTTTTAAGATTAAACAAGATGTCTTAAAGATATCTTAAATTCTTACAAAGGTCTACGTTGTCCGTCGAAAAGACGTCTTACTCAAGATTGCTTAAAAACGTCTTACTAAAGACCGATTTAAAACGTCTTAATTTAACGGTCTAAAGGCGTTTTAATCAAGACGTCTTAAAGATGTCTTAAAAAGGTCTAGGTTGTTTGTCAAAAAGATATCTTACTCAAGATAGCTTAAAGTCATCTTACTCTAGACAGATTAAAAACGTCTTACCAAGCGCTTTAAAAACGTTTTACTCAAGAAGTCTTATTTTAGAAGACTTTTAGGTGTTTAATTTAGAAAATTAATCCCGCATTTATTAGAAACATAAATATAGAGAAAAAATAAATTTAAAAAAAATAAATTAATTAATAAAATTAAAAAAAATAAGTTAAAAGGGACATATAATACAATTAGATGGATTTTAATAAAGTATCTTTTTATATAACAATGTATATAACATATAATATATACTGTAAGTATATATTATATGTTATATACATCTCTGTAAGTACCGCGCTCAACTTAATTTCTCCGTGCAGCGGCCTTGCTTGTCAAGGTTTGTGTTTCGGAGTTAAAGAGTTGAGAGAGGGTTGTACCACGATTTACAATAAAAATAAAAAAAATTAGTAGCCTCCTCGACTGTAGTGACCCCCTTGGGCTTTGGGGAGGTAAAAAAACTGGAAAAAAATTAAAAATTTTGACTATCAAAAATCTTAAAAATAATTTTAACTTAACATACATTTTTAATCAAATACTGAATGATAAAAATTTTTATTATATTAATACTTTTTTTTATTACCTTCTAATACATCATATAGCTTCGTTGATAATAAACCAATTTTTCCACCAGAACCTTTTAAATTAAACTGCGCCAATAGGGTATTTGTAAATAATCTATATAACATAAGGAATAAGTAATACAATTTATGAAAAATAAGCAATTTACCATCCCAATGTAATTATTTGTTGCAATAACTACTATACTTAAAATATATATTTACAACAGAAAAATAAAAAATATTATTGCTCATATAAAAATATAATTAGAAAAACCTATTCATAACCAATCTTATCAGCTGTTTATAATCTTTTGCGCCTAAAAAACTCAGTTGTTTAACCTAAATAAAAAAAAAATCAAAACCAAAATAACAAAATTATTAAAATAATTATTTTAAATTTACAAGGTTTTCAATATGTAAAGACAAAGTATTTACCAAACCAAGGCGAACTGAATCATCCTCTAAATATTTGAGAAAATCTTTGTATTCTGCTATAGTCTCTAATTGCTTAACTGTCAAATTACTATGGGGTTGTTTATTTACAGCAATAATTAGCTCCTGATTTTCAAGAATTTTTGATACCATCTTGAACATCATATGCTGGTATTCTAAATTATACAATATATATATATATATATATATATATACATATATATATATATATATATATATATATATATATATATATATATATATATATATATATATATATATATATATATATATATACACATACAGAAAAAAATTATTTATACAATTTTAAAATGGCCAAAAATTATTGTTTTTTGTACAAAAGTCATTTCTAAAATAATTAAAATGTGTGCACAGTCTCCACATTTTATTGCAAATAAAAAATAAATTAAATGGTTAAAAGAGGAACTTCCAACTTCATTAGGAAATTGATTTTTAACTAACTTCTCTGGTCCAAGGACTTCAATCATAGTTTTTTTTTGTACTTCTTCTTTTGTTTTCTTATTTTTTTGAACTCTTGAGTATGAGGGTTTCACCTCATAATGCCAAAAAATAAATTAAAAGAAAAGAAAAAATTTTAAACAACATTTTTTAGATGTAAAATAATAATCAAAGACAGTGTACCTGTAAAAAAATTTGATTGTTCCTTTTCAGTTGATTTTGAAGGTAAAAGAAGTTAGGCAAAGCTAAAATTAACAACAAAATAATATTTCAACCTTAATAAACAAAAACTTTAATTATAAAATTTAACACAGTGACTCAGAATACGAAGTTGATTGTTCCTCAGTGTGTAAAGGTAAAGAGTCAGGCAAAGCTAAAAATAAGAATCCAGAAATATTTTAGATTGAAGGTGTTGCAAATTGAATTAATTCTAAATTTAAATAATTTAATAATTATTAGATACCAGAACAAATATTTGATTGTTTTAAAATAATTGATCCAGGTGACAAATTAAAATCAAATGATCTCTTTAATGATTTTGTTGGTATGGATTGCAAAACTGGTGGAGGCAACAGAAAATCTAGTAACTTTAAAATATAATATCTATATAATTAATTCTTGTTATTGTATTTACATTTGATATTAAAAATAAATTGTAAGCAAATTTTTAATTATACCATAAACATTACTTTTCACTTTAAATGTGCCTTTGGAACTTATAAAACAATTATCTATTTCATCCTCCTCCTATGCTGCTGTTGTGTAACCATATTCTTTTAGCTCATTTATATTATCTAAAAGAACAATAACTCTTATAAAATAAATAAAAATATCAGATATTTTTCCAGTACACCATATATTAATTCTAAAGAGTTATTTAATAGTACTTACATAGTTTATTCAGATATATACATATACATATATATATATATATATATATATATATATATATATATATATATATATATATATATATATATATATATATATATATATATATATATATATATATATATATATATATATATATATATATATATATATATATATATATATATATATATATATATATATATATATATATATATATATATATATATATTATATTAGGGGCGGACTTAAACCCCGTCAAGTGCTGCAAGTGACGGGGTAAAAAAACAAAAATAAATATAAGTATTATGACGTCTAACGCCCGCCTAAAGTTAATTACCGATCTATATAATTTTGTTAGAAAATATAATTAGAAAAAGTTTACAGTGAAAACTATGCTTTGCAGACGTTTGAAAAAAAGTGTTCTATAAAACTTGCTAATGTAAACTACACTTTGCAGGATATGAGAAAATTATTTTATAAAACTTGCTAATGGAAACTCTACTTTGCAGGATATTAGAAAATTGGATAAGTTGATTGGTTTACGCTATTAAAAGTAGCAATTTGATTTGTTTAAAAAACAAACATGTTTAGTGTAAACTATCCTTTGCAGCATTTGCAGCAGTAATTTGATTGGTTGCAAAGATCGATAAACAATTCAAAAGAACTCAAGGAACTCAATGAACTCAGTTCTGAAAACAAAGTATTTCTTTAAAATTTTAACGTATAAGCATGGCTTACAACTTGATTGATGATGTACTTAAAAGATTTAAAACCGATAATCTTGTCGATTTAAATACTTTTTATGAAACTTTATTGGATACATTTTTTACAACAATAACAAAATGGTTAGTAACGAAGGTCCTTTAAGTCGTTTTATTGATGGCACAATAAGAAGAAATATATGTGCCAAAGTTTGTATCCCTTCTTACTTAAAAGACAATAAAATGCATTGTATTGCTCTAAGGTAAGTCAATTTACTTTTTTTTTCAAAAATAACTATCTTATTGTATTTTATTACAAAATTTAATACTTTTTTGTAAAAATGTTTATTGTTAATACCGTATTAATCTAATCTATAAAAAAAATCTCGTTGACTAATCAATATTTAATAAGTGTCAACACCGTCAAATTATTTTGACATGTATGAATATAATATGTTCATGATGTATGTATTAAATTCCTACATGTCAAAATCGTTTGTTGGTTTGTCTGAATTCTTGACTTTTGATTTGATTTATGAATTTGTTTAAAAAGCAAAGATTTTTTATTCAATTTTAAATTTATTGATAAAAGAAGTTTAGCTCTTAAAAACATGAAGTAAATATATATATTTTTTCTTAAGGTCTGAAGCATCTGGAAGTTGTATGTACAGCTCTGCATCATTATTTTTTGTTGCTGACAATACACTGATTAAGAGTTTTAACATCCCTTGAAGTTTATATACATGCTGATTATTACTGTAAGCATCCTTTATTTTCGAAAAATATTTTCTGATTATAGTTCTCATTTTATTAATCTCAAAAGTTTATTGTGTATGTCAGTATCTTATTCTGCATTAGATTCTGGCTTCGAAAATAATGATATTATTAAAGCTGAAGCAATTGCAAACTGTGAGAGCACAGAAAAATGGGCTGGTTTTTTATGTTTGTTAGGTTTATCATCAGTTCTTTCTTGTAATATTGTTTCCTGTTACCCAGATTTCGGTGTTGAAAAGTATAAAATATTTTTTAACCAAGAGAGCTCACCATGTACTCCCATTAAATTTTGTTCCCCATTTTACATTTTGTTTTGTTATGATGGGAATTTTAAGTCAGGTACATTTCAGCATAATCACTATGTCCCACTAATTTTTATTCCTAAAAAGCATAAACTTTCCAGTAAATCAAAAACAATAATTTCGAAAAAATTGCTGCCAGTCTTGTCACCTAATAAATTTCTAGATACAAAACAGACCACTATTGATCAAGTTGCTACAATTGTACCCAGCACAGAAGCTAAAAATCCAAATAAAAAGCCTTACTCTATCCTTACATTCTTTCATAAAACAAACCCAGACTTAGAACCTACTAGTGCAGTCTTACAAAATACATCTTGTATTCTAAAATCAAATTTTCTTCTCAATTACCAGTGTCTTCTTCTCAATCCACAACATCTTTTCAATCATTAACATTAAATAAAGATGTTTCTTCTCACTCAAAAACATCTAAGGACAGTGTTCTATCAAAATTTTTTTTTACAAAATCTTCAAGCATCAGGAAAGTACCTAATTTTTATAATAATAATAATAATATTGAATGCCCTTCGAACAATATTTTACCACCTAAAGAAGTACTAAATGCTCTTCAGTCTTTTGAGCAAAATGATGTTGCTTTCTTTAGACAAAAAGTTGAATTTTTATCTGACCATGAAATTTTTTTATTAACTAAAAGTATGTTTATTCCCAATGAAGATTACATTTTCCCAAAAAATTCTGGTCGTCAGTTTAGATATCTTTGGTTGGAAGAGTTTTCTTGGCTGAGATATTCTAAAAGTACTGATGGGGCATTTTGTTAATCTTGTGTATTATTTGGCAATAAATTCAAACTAAGATCACGTAAGTTAACACATTTGTATTTGGAGCCTTTCAATAAATGGTCTGATGGTATTAGATCATTTTCAAATCATGAGTCAACTAAAAATGGTTTACATGCATTTACTATGCCTGTTTTTAATATTTTTTTGAGTCATTCCTCAGGCATAAATCAACCAATAAATGTCATCATTGATACTAATGTAAAAGAAAAAATAATAAAAAATTGCTAAATACTTGGTCCTATTGTTGATGCTATAATTTTTTGCGGTCAAACCAATACACCTTTGAGAGGCCACAGAGATGATTCACAATATTTTCCAGAGGCTGGAGAATATTCGAAATGTGGAATGTGGTTGTTTTAATAAACTTTTAAATTTTGCTGTACACAATGGAAATGAGGTTTTAGGCTCTCATCTTAATAACTGTTCAAAGAAGGCTTCCTATATTTCGAAGACTTCACAAAATGAAATTGTTAAATGCTGTGGTGAAGAAATTAGTGAATCTATACTATCTGAAGTTCGCAAAAATGTTTTTTTTTCAATAATTGCAGATGAAGCCTGTGACTCATCTACTAAAGAGCAAATGTCATTAGTTATACGATTTGTTGATAGTGATTTCAATATCAGATAAGACTTTATTCAATTTATTCATTGTAGTGAAGGAGTTAAAGGAAAAGATTTGTTTAATGTTCTTTTAAATTGTGTAAGCAACTTAAATCTAGATATAAAAAACTGTAGGGGTCAGGGATATGATGGAGCCAGTTTTGTCTCTGGGTATATAAATGGTCTTTCTGCTCAGGTTCTCAATATAAATTCAAAGGCTTTTTATACACATTGTCATAGCCATCGACTGAACTTATCAGTTTGTGAATCGTGTTATGTCCATTTAGTTTCAGAGGTTTTTAATAAAGTTCATGAACTTTCTTATTTTTTTAAATATTCAGAAAATAGACAAAAGTTTTTAGAAGCTAGCATTTTAGAGCGAGAACCTCAAACGCATAAAAAAAAATTAAAAAATATCTGTAGAACTAGATGGATTAAGTGTATAGATTGTTTAAACACTTTTCTTGAGCATTATTTATCTATTTTCCATGCTTTATGTATCATGGCTTCCCCTGAGAGTTCTGTTAACAAAGACACACAAAACAAATCTTCTACTTTTTTAAATTCCATTGGCACTTTTCAATTTGTCTTTACTTTGGTTGTGACAACACGTGTCTTTGATTTTACTTTACGTGTTACTTGGTTACTGCAATCAAAAACTATTGATATCTTAGACGGTTTGCACCTTATTACAGCTCTTAAAAATACATTTATTTCCATCAGAAAGGATATAGATAGTTTTCATAATAACTGCTATGAAGCAGCATGTTTGCTTTCAAGTAAAGCTGAAATTTTTGTTTTAAAACCAAGAACTTGTTCTATTCAAAAAAATCGTTCTAATATTCCATCAGAGTCTGTTTCAGAATACTTCAAAAGAGCTGTTACTATCCATCTTATAGATCATGAATCTACATCTATATCTACAAGATTTAAATCAGAAACTGTAGCTGCATATAAAGGATTATCAATTATTCCATTTAATATTATTTCTTTTCTTAAAAGACCCAAAACCCAATTGTGTTGGAGGAAGCAGTTTGAAACATTCTGTGATTTTTATATAGATGATTTCCCTAATATCAGTGCCTTAAATGGGGAACTAGTTCTTTGGGAAAAATACTGGGAAAGTTTCTCTGGGACTATTCCTGACAATATATCTTTAACTCTTAAATCGATATCATTTCCTGGATTTGAAAATATTAGGATAGCTTTAAGGATACTTGGGACACTTCCTGTTACTTCATGTGAGTGTGAGAGGAGTTTTTCTGTTATGTGTCAGTTAAAAGACTATATGAGAACAACAATGTCAGAAGATTGACTTAACGGTTTGGCATTAATGTATATCCATCAAGAAATTGTTCCTTGTATTGATAATGTTATCAATAGATTTTCTATAAAAAATAGACGACTTGATTTCAATAATTAGTGTCTATACTGTTTATTTTATAACTCACCAACAACTTTTGAAATTTTTGTCTATATATATCTACTATAGCATATTTATATGCGCAATTGCTCACTTTTTTTGCTAGCCTAAATTAAGTGAGCGTTTTTAGAAAATGATGAGGGAAAACGAAGAATAATGAATGAAAAGATTGCTGACCCATACCAGACCCTCAGTCGATGTAGCAGCACTCCACTGCGAGTCGGGCTATTTGTCAGTCGATGTATGTACTGAAGCCCCTAGCAGCAGGCTATTTGACGTTAGGTGAGTATGACATCATCATGCTCACCTAACTCAGCAGTATAAAATATATTATCACCTCTCTTCATATAACAGCTAACAAATAGGCATGGAAACCCCTGGAAAGGCCAAGACTTCAATGGTGTCCTCAACAGGACGGGTTAAATGTAACCCCATACTTTTGCTTGGGATTAGCTATATGATTAGTGATCATAGTTCAGGCAAACATTACCCATCTCTTTTTGACAATCTCTTTATATCATTTTCTAGCAACAAAATAAAAAATTATTTTCAATAAATTTTCTCTCAATCAACCTAATAAAATTAATAAGTTTTTGTGCCGTTTAAATCAGTTTTTTGCTGTAGTTGTCAAAACCATTAGCTTTCTTTTTATTTCATCAAAAATGATCTGCTTTCTTGTAGTTAAAGCTTAACTTGGTATGTCTTTTTTTTTTAAGTCTTGTTATATAAGAATATATATGACTTTTTATTTCACGATGTATATAAATCCATTTGTATTTTTGTCTTTTCTTAATTTTTCTTTCTCTGATTGTCCATGTCCGGAATAAATATGTTCCTAGACATGCTGATGAGCCCTGATATTGGGCGAAACAATCATTTGTTGGTTTATATATTTATTATATATTTATATATAAAAAAAGTTTCAAAGTAAAACTAAGATATGAGCTTCTCAATGAAATAGCAAAAAGAAAATCCCTTTAAATCCTCCAGCCCAAGAGCAGGAGGATTTAGGGGATACATAGGGGGCAGGCTATAGGAGCGATGGCCTCCCTTAGATGTTTTTTTTATAAGAACATTATGTAAAAATGTAAGTAAATTTGGTAGGCTGTTTAAAAGTGGCATAAAATTGTGTAGTCTAAATTCTTTTTTTTTGGGCTTGCCTGCTTAAAAATCGTTAAACCTGTAAATCGCTTCCTTTAATCGTTTGGATCGAACAAAA